TGATTTTCTTGCACTTCATTCCCAGTAGGGCCCTTGTGTGATACTGGGATGTTACACACCCCACAAGCACACCAGTATGTATATATATGGAATGTGAACAACAGCTTTCATCTGGGATGCAAGTGGGCATTCTTAATCCTTCTTCATCATTTTATTAGAAGGCCGCCTTTCGCTAATTAAAACCATGCTCAAGGAGACTTAGAGCATGAAAAGATTTATGGAATTACAAACATAACAAATGTAGTGATAAACAATAAGTAAAATGCATCCAAAAAAACAAAATGCAACAAAATCGAACAATTTCCACGTATAATCTCAGTAAGATCTAAAAATAAATATACAAAAAAGTAGTATCAATTACAGCAACAAAAACACCCAACACACCACCCTAAATAATACCACAGCCCCTTGTTAAGAGAGCAAAATATGAAGGCTTTGGAGGTTGATGTTTGCTTGCTGTAATGGTCCTTGGCAGTTTGTGGTACTAAGAATGAATGTGGTTTGTATGGGTGTCAAGGAGTATTGCTTAGAATGAACTTACTCATTTCTACTGATTTTGCCCTATCCCATTCAGTTGCTGCTATTAAGGCATAACACGTTGTCGTGGAGCAGGAAGGGGTAGATAACATGCTGCATTGACTGTATGTCATGTTTATGCTACAACTGTTATAGCACATTTGTGAAACTCTCTTCAGTGGGAATATTACATATTCCACTGCAGAAATGTACAGGATAGAAATATGTTGCAGATTTTAGTGAGAATTTACAAAGGAAGGAAGCTGATGGTAGCAGATGGCAGTTGAGTTTCCAGATTACAATCTGGAAAATGTGTACTTCCTTTTAAAATTCACTGATCAACAGAGATATATGGTGGTCTAGACAGCTCTTGTCAGTTCCTTGCCTGATACTTCCCTCTGCTCTCCTTCTCCACCTGCAGGACACCAGCTGTGCTCTGTTACAGGCCAAAATGTTCAAAGATCATCTGAAAAATGGATGGGAGCAGCATTGACAACCATTAATGCCTTTAAAGGTTAAACACGTATTCTGTGGGTTTAAAACTGACAATCCTACTATTATAAGTCTACAGTAGGGTTCATGCAATCCGTGGGTGGAGATGTCAAAGAGCCACAGTCCCACCTACATATGAGGATAATAGCATATGGCTATCTTACAGGATAATTGTAAGGAGTGCTGATTTGTGTGAATTGGATTGAACTCCACATGATGTATAAATGCACAGTACTAAAGTAAAGTCATTATCCATAATGGCACAACTCTCCAACAGCCACATTTTATGTTAATTGATACTACTGTACTTCAGTGAACTCCCAACCACCTCTCCGTTGCATTTTGTATACAAAAGCAGTAAGAATGTGGTAGTTGCTAGCTAAATGTTAAGTTGAATTAACAGCTGCAGCTGTGAAGTAGGGCTGCAATAAAGGGGACTGAAGATGCTCACTTTACTGGGAATAAGCCTCATTGAACTCAATGGGGCTTACTTTTTTTAATAAGGTTTTATTAAAGTCCCCCCGTCTTAATACAATAAGAAAAAGGAAACTAAATGAAAACGAATACAGAGAAAGAAAGAGAAAAGAAAACACCAAAGGGGGAGGGGAATAGTTCTGTGACACATGTTGGCTCTTTATTGTGGATATGGCATAATTCATGGTCTGCAGTTTACACTTTTGAAAAAGAAATGAATACACTCCTAGTTTTATCTTGGTCACTTTTAGGATGGAAGATGTGGGTTTGGCTGAGATGATAACACTGGTATTGGTGTCATGCTAAATAATGTCTCAGTACCTGGACCATAAAGAAGGCTGATCGCCAAAAATTGATGCTTTTGAATTATGGTGCTGGAGGAGTCCATGGACTGCAAAAAGATCAAACCTATCAATTCTGAAGGAAATCAGCCCTGAGTGCTCACTGGAAGGACAGATTGTGAAGCTGAGGCTCCAATACTTTGGCCACCTCATGAGAAGAGAAGACTCCCTGGAAAAGACCCTGAAGCTGGGAAAGACTGAGGGCACAAGGAGAAGGGGACGACAGAGGATGAGGTGGTGGGACAGTGTTCTCGAAGCTACGAACATGAGTTTGACCAAACTGCGGGAGACAGTGGAAGACAGGAGTGCCTGGCGTGCTCTGGTCCATGGGGTCACAGTGTCAGACATGACTAAACAACATCAACAACAACGCCTGACCTTGAGTAACAAAGTAACACAAATCTCTCAGTTACTTGGCAGTCAAACTGTTCTTTTGTGGAGTTTTTTTAAAGGCACGTGTCACATGCTCCTTAGTGTGTAGTTATTCTTTAAAATATCTGCGCTAAACAAAAAATAAACTAATGAATGAGCAAAATGTGAGGAAAGAAGCTGTTATTTGCAGATTCTATAGTTACCATTTTGTTTAACGTAGTAAGCCTTCTAAAACTGATCTCTGCCAATTACGGTAAGTTTTGTTTCCAATTTTCTGTGCTCAGTTAAAATCCAGTTCAAATGGAGAAGAAGTGTCAGTTACGTTCAGGCTTGCTAGGACTTTACAAGTATATATATATATATATTATTTTAAAAATATGCACCTGTAGTTCTATGTGCATAGGTTAAAATATTGATTATAGGATACAGGTGAAAGCAGTAGAATGACTTTGGATGTTTCATGCAAAAATAGGCTATTTCTGTTTAAACTGAAGCTAACTGTACCAGGCAGCAGACTTTCACATGCATGTCCTTTCATTTTATTGCCTTATCATTGTTTTCAAGTGCATGAATGCAGCATAGTGCATAAAACTGAAAATGGGCTATAAAATGTTTACATTCTGTGACTTTTTTATTAGGATTTTAAAATGATGAAGCATGCAGTTAAAATGTGAAAATCAATATTGAAAAATACAATATATGAGTGTAATTGAGGGGAACTATGCCTTGCCCTTTTGGTTGTGTCTGGTTCTGTTGTTAATAGTACTTTTTTAAAAATTCAATATTATTTAGAGGAATTTTTTTTAAATGAGCATTTTTTATTTTTTAACATTTAGTCTCATGTGTCAGGCCTGAGGAATCTCTCCCTCCCCTCCCAAAGGTTTCAAGGAGCCAGGAGGAAACAAGAAAGTTTTACTTATGATTTATTAAGTCACTGCAGTAACAGACAAAGAATTCCAGTCTTTCCTCCATGATGGAGTTGCTTACTCTGGCTCCTTCTTCTCCTTCCCCCTTCCCCAACAGCACCCGCCTCTATGGAAGCCTCCCATTGACAAACATTGCTGCGTACATTGTTCTTGTACCCTCAACGACTGTCGCATCCTTGGGGACATAGGATCCCCTATGCTGTCTATTGAAGCGTTCGCTGACTGCTCTCTCCCCTCCCTTACTTCTCCTAACTTAGCATACCTTGGCTACATAGCTTGGCTGCACTTCAATACTGTCTCTCTCCTCCCTTCAGCTCCAGGAGAAGGCGGGAGTGGGGGAGAGATCTCCACCATTCCTTTGCCTGTTCATTCCATTCCCTGACATCATGAGAGACACATTTCCTATTGACAGGTTTCAATTCTGAATCCTTTCTTCACAAAGCTGTGTCTGTCAGATAGTGGAGACCAGGTAATTTTGATCAACCCAAGGGTGGGGATTGTTTGGAGCTATTAAAACTCAAACTCCCACCAGCGCCAGACAGCACGGCCAGTGGTCAGGGATGATGGGAACTGTAGTCCACAGGTTTCCCACCCTTTCTTTACAAAGAACTTCGGATTGCCATTTTCCTCACTGTATTTTGATATTTGTTGAGTACCATGAGTGTGCACGGCTCATTACAGAGTTACATAGGCAGGAATAGACAGCCCCATGCCCTTTAAAATCTAAAATAGAGAATGAAGAAAACAACAAATGGTGCTCATGTGCCACATCATGTGATCAATTATGTGGGGTGGGGCTAACCTGCCCCTCCCCCCAATATTTTATTTAAGTTGGCAAACCTGCCCTACATTATATTATCCCCCCCCCATAGCATTATCATTGGTGTGTTACTGAAGAGGAACTGAGGGAGCTAACTAGAAGGAAGAGTAATGGTCGTAGAAGAAGAATGGATGGCACAAAGGAGACAACTAAAGTCTCTGCTGGAAGAAAATATAAGAACTTGTATCTGGCTTTTATAACTTTAAGCATAAGGAATTTTTATACTGGTAGCATCTTTAATTTTATGTGCCGATCTGCAAACATTTCCTCTATTCATTGATTTCACAGTGAATACCACTGCCCTTCACTACCATGTAGTTAGAATAATATTGAATCTAAACTTGGAACAGATTGAAGAAACTCCTATTGGTAATTCTGTTCTCCACACTGAAGCTCTTTTTATACTTGTTATATTAAACCCCCATAAGCAAAGACATATGCAGAGAATGATAATATTTCCTCAGTTTCTTTCTCCCCGCACTCTCACACACTTCTTTTGTAAAGGAGATTGAATGGACAGCAAAATGTAGAATGATTTAACATATTATATTTACAACTAGGACAAGAACTTAATATAATGTATGCAGCTCCATGCAGTTTCATTTGGTACATCCTTTGTAGCCTGAGGGTTTGGAAATACTGTAGCCACAGAGCAGCTATAAATATTTTATCTCATCAAGGAAGTAAAAAATGAAATGAAAAGAAAAAGATATAACTATGAATCTTTTAATTATGTTACTTATGCATTGCTTTCATTGTGTTAGTTATACAAAGCTGTTTAACTTTTCGGAATAGTGACAAACCTCTCTCTCCCATGGATTGCAGTCCCGATAAAAGCTCTCCCTCCTCCCATGGCTGTAAGTAAAGAAAAAGCAAACTGTGAACAGCTTCACACTATGCATGACAAGTGGGGAACAGCCATAGCAGTGTTTCCCAAACTTGGGCCTCCAGCTGTTTTTGGCGTATGACCCCCATTATCCCTACCTAGCAAGACCAGTGGTCAGAGATGATGGGAATTGTAGTGCAAAAGCAGCTGGAGACCCAAGTTTGGCAAACATTGGGCCATAGCTCAGTGGCAGAACATCTGCTTAACATGCAGAAGATCCCAGGTTTAATCCTTGGCATCTCCCACTGTGGCTGGGAAAGTCCCCTGATCCCAAACCTCAGTTATTGTCATGTAAACAACAGTGAACTTGATGGCCCAATGGTATGATTTGATATAAGGCAGCTTCCTATGTGTATCATGTACTTTGACCTTCATACAGTATGACTGTTACCAAAAAGTGGCCCATAGTTAAGTATCAGAGAATCCGAGCATTACTGGAACACTCAGATCCTTCATTTCATGCATTTGTTTTCTAAAGTCATGTAATAAATCTTTAAGAATGTTTTAGTCAGTTATCCCTAAAGAAATTATCTGTCTTTTCATATTGATTATGAACAACCTCACGCTACAGCGGGCTAGTATGTAGAAGTTGTACGAATGAATAAAATCAAAACACTGCCTTTATTAGCCAAGGAAAAACAGAAGAGGACCCACTGAAAGTAAACAAATAGCAGAAGAGGTGGAGAAGGAAAAATCCCTTTCAGGACTTGTGGGTACATTCCTTGTTGGACACTGGTAGTGTAAGATTCAACAATTCAGTGTTGACATTAGAGACTGGATTTTATGAGAGAATAATTTATCTGCATATTTGAAATTTTCTTCTGCTCCCAAACTCTAACACGGATAGACTTCTGGAGCTTTTTCTTTTCTTTCTTGAGACCAATCATAACAAATAGTGGCTGGGTGCGGGGGATAAAATGTGAGGACCATGCAGGTCATTTAACTTCCTCTCTTGTGAAGTGGAAATGTAATCATTCTGGAAAATTAAAAATGACTGACTTGCATTACTGCGTATGAAGGTACAAATGATAATTATAATCATTCTACATCAGACGTTTATACGTCATTTATATCTCTTGTCATTTCTCAAGGCTAATTTTACACAGCATCCGTGACATAATAGCTCAAGAAGTAGGACCAAGGTAGAAAGAGAGAACCTCCTTCTTCACCCCCAAGTCATTATAAAAGTCTAATAGAATATAGAAAGGACATCTAGCAATCAAAATGTCAAACAATTACAGTGCCCAACTAGCTCAACACCAGTTTTTCATATCCATATATCTGTATTTTCTAAAATTAATGTGCATAAAGTGAATATGTTTTGACTACTCAGATAAGTATTAAGGTAAAGGTACCCCTGCCCGTACGGGCCAGTCGTGTCCGACTCTACGGTTGTGCGCCCATCTCACTTAAGAGGCTGGGGGCCAGTGCTGTCCGGAGACACTTCTGGGTCACGTGGCCAGCGTGACGAAGCTGCTCTGGCGAGCCAGCACCAGCGCAGCACACGGAAACGCCGTTTACCTTCCCGCTATAAAGCGGTACCTATTTATCTACTTGCACTTAGGGGTGCTTTTGAACTGCTAGGTGGGCAGGAGCTGGGACCGAAAGACGAGAGCTCACCCCGCCGTGGGGATTCGAACCGCCGACCATGCGATGCCCTAGGCACTGAGGTTTTACCCACAGCGCCACCCGCGTCCCACCAGATAAATATATATTCACTCAAATAAACATACATATTCAGAAGTTCATCCACATTCACCCAAAAGTGCTAGTGCTTTTCAACTTACACTGGTCTGAAAAAAAATTAGTGTGTAACATTGTGCAGTCCTGAATGTGTTTACTCAAGTCCCCTTGTGGGGCTTCCTCCCAGGTAAAAGGGTATAGGATTTGGTTAAGAAAAATGCAGAGGTAAATAAGATATTCATGATCAGCCAGGAAGATATTAAAATATTAATACTGGATCAAATTATAGGACTCTGAAGTATTTCTCTGATAGCTCCATCTGTGTAGTGATGCCAAGGCCTAATATGAGAAAGGCTAAGGTAAAAGGTAAAGGACTCCTGGACAGTTAAGTCCAGTCAAAGGTGACTATGTGGTGTGGTGCCCATCTCACTTTTCAGGCCAAGGGAGCTGGTGTTTGGCCACAGACAGCTTTCCGGGTCATGTGGCCAGCATGACTAAACCACTTCTGGTGCACGCAGGGCAGTGATGAGTGCCAGAGCACACGGAAATGACGTTTACCTTCCCGCCGCAGCAGTATCTATTTATCTACTTGCACTGGTATGCTTTCAAACTGCTAGGTTGGCAGGAGCTGGGACGGAGCAATGGGATCTCACCCCCTTGCACTGATTCAAACTGCTGACCTTCTAATCGGCAAGCCCAAGAGGCTCAGTGGTTTAGAGCACAGCGCCACCCACGTACCTCAAGGGTATGCAGTACTGACACCTTTTTTGTAGTAGAAAAGCACTGGTTAAAAATGTAACACTTCCTGTAACAACTTCATGACACCTTTTTTTCCCTACAATAAAAGCACCCTGAAGATCTGTACGTAGAAGCAGGCTTCTGTATAGAAATATATTCTATATGGAGAGTAAAAGAAAAGGGGCACTTTCTCCTTTTAATCACACTGTAGCATGAACACAAATAATTGTGCCATATTTTTAATTTATTCATAAAATATATCATCTTTACAATCTTAAAAAGAACCCCAAAGTGATTTCCAGTTATTAAAATCTCATCACAATTCAAACTAGGAAGCGTTAAAAAGCCAGAAGACAAATAGGTGAATTGCAATCACTGTCACATGAATAATAGCTTGTGAGCCACTTAATGTGCGTTGGGAGAAAAGAGAATGGGCATGTGACTCAGAAGATCCATAGAACTACTTGCAGCTTTGCCCCCTCCCCCAACACCCTAACTTGAAACAGCTATCCCCTTTCCCAAGGCAATATCATAAACTGGTTTTGAAATATCACTCATTTTCAGAAGTGTTTTGCCAAATAGATTAATGGACTTCTGTTTGAGAAATGGATAGGTTAAGGAATCATATACTTAGAGGAAACACAACTAATTCTGATTTATTTCTGTATTGGCATATTTTATTGACATATACAGTATATTTCTGCTCGTACTATTGTAGTCAAATATTGCTTTCCCCCTTTTAAGTGAGTAGATGAGACGGCATTGCTCTCTGATTGTTTTAATTGCTAAGTTGGATTTATTCAGACTTGATTGCCATTATGCAACTGAAGGAGCAGGTTGTTCCCATTATAATGATGCCTCAGTGCCGGGGGGTGGGGCGTTGGGCAACACCATGCGGTCCTTGAATTGCAGGAATTGGAAAGAGGCTGGTGTTGATGTGAAAACTTAACCTCAATATACTGCATTATGTAAATTGCCTGCTGGAAAAAATGGGGAAGGAAGTGCTTGTTTTCACTGTTAGGCGGAATTAGCTTGACACTGAAACATCTTTACATTTCTTTGCACCATACTGGTAATTGTACAAAGGCGAACAATGAATAACAAAAAATTCTGTCTTGCAAAACAGCTGATATCAATCTAATTTAAGTCAGAGAATATTTAAATATGTCTGCACTCATTCCAAGAATACGTACACGTTCATTTTTCTCTTCACAGGAACTGCCATTCACCCACCCTGGACATTCTGTAGAGCAAAGCTAGGGCTGCCAAATGTTTGGTCCAGCAAGGCACATTTTAATTTTGAGAAAGTGCCGTGGGAGCCAGTGACATCACTTCTGTGGGGGTGTGGCATAAAAAACATGGCTGTCATGGGAGGGGGCCAAGTACAGTCATTGCTGGTTGCTCTCTTCCCAAATGCACACGTTCATTTCACAGATACAGGCCACAGATAAATATATCCCTCAGCCCAAGTACGTCTCTTCCTTTCTCACAAGCCATACACACATATTCATATATACATATTTCCTTTTCAACTCCTGCTTGCAAACATACACCACAAGCACACCTCTCCATCTCCATGTATGGGCTAGTTCTGCACAAAAAATTGAGAAGAATGGTATCTGTATGTTTTGCCTCATATCTTAGGTTCTAAAAATGCTAGAAACTTTGTCTTTTTAAATAAGAACTGGGAACCTAGGGGTTATGATTTATCTGGGGTACACCAAAGAAGGCCTTTGAGGGCACCTGCACACACTGGGTTGGCAATCCCTGCTGTAGAGTCTTGTGAAAGCATGTCATTGCCTCAGCAGGACATGCTGAGGCACTTGAGTCCAAAGGAACCTGCAGCTTTATTAGCTAAACAGATTAACTTCTGGATCATTCCAGTCAAAAGGTCTAATGACCCAATATAGCTAATGTGTTGTCTTGCCCCGTGATCCAAGTATGCTTCTATTTCTTTTTCTCCACCAATGCCTCGGCTCTCTGTTCCCTTTTTAGTGCCACGCAAACATCTCATTCCAGCCAGACTTTCTTCTTGGTTCATCCCCCCCCTCTGGTTTTCAAGCGCTCATCTATTTCTTGCTCTCCTGCTAAATTCACCAGCCATCTTTCAGTTATAGCACCAGTGTGTGTGTTTGTGTTTGTGTGTGTTTGTAACAGCTTATATGTGTTATATATGCATTAATAATGTATCTCCCAACGAGCAAAGATGTTAATTATTTTATATTAGATCACAGTTTTAAAAGGACCTGTTTAAGGATTCAGAATGCAAAGCAACCGCAGGGCATGTGGGATTATAAAGCAAGTACTGAAGTGCCTAATTAGGCACTGCACTTTTCTTTCTATAACAAATCTTGCTGCTCTTTTTAATGAACTTTTAAAGAAGTAGTTAAATAGTGTTGTATTCTACAAATACAGAATTCAAATCGATCTTATGAAAGCAAAAGTATAAATGTAGCAGTGCACCGATTTAAAAAAACAAAAACAAATACTGCTTTAAACACATAGAATCGTAGAATTGGAAGGGACCCTGAGAGTCATCTAGTCCAACCCCCTGCACTGCAGGAATTTGCAGCTGCCCCATATGGGGATCGAACCTGCAACCTTGGTGTTATCAGCACCGTGCTCTAAACCAACCGAGTTATGCAGTGAATCCAAGGTTGTGTATAGGGACCATGTCTTTAGGCAGATCTTACAATACAGCTTTCTCAACTTGTACACATACTGTGCTGTATATCCTGTGTGAGCGTTCATTTTAAGCAACAGGACATTTTAAATATTAGTTAAATTGTTTAAATTTATTTTTTTTTAGAAATGTCTTCTTTC